GAGCCACTCGCAGAGCTCCAGGAAGGTGTCCCTCCTCATCCTGAAGTTCTGGGTCCCCTGTCGGTCTTCCCAGTGCTCCAGGACGATGCGGTCCCACCCGTCGCTGCTGATGTCCAGACGCCAGATGCGGCGGGGGAGGCGGGCATCCAGGCGCTGCTGCGGATCCTCCACAGCCCCCAGGGAGGCCAGGCGGAGAGGTAGGGGGCTGACGTGCACCAGGTGGTGCCAGGTAGCCTCCAGCCATTGCTGGCAGGGTTGCAGCAGCAAGGCCAGAAACTGCACCCGAAAGCCCAGGGCGAGCCTCAAGCCATTGCTGGCAGGCTTGCAGCAGCAAGTCCAGAAAGTGCACCAGAAGGTGCAGGGCGAGCTGTGGCTCCATGTTGCCACCTGTGGCGGCGTCCCCGAAGGGAAGCACCGACACAGACGGGCACAGAGACCAACGTTTTGCTGTCCCTCGGCGAGGTTGGCAAGCAAGCAGGAAAAGCTAAGAACCGGCTGTCCGGGGGGGTCCCTTTAAGCACGAGCCTCAGATAGTCTCAGACAGCAGCCACACAAAGCAACTACTGACCTGATGCCCTGCCAGAACCGGTTTCAGCCGCCCTTAAATGCGCCCCTGCGTCCAATCAGTGTGGACGCGCTAGTTCGAATTAGCAAAATGCTAATTCGAACTAGTTTTTAGTTCTAGATGCGTTAGTTCGAATTAGCTTAGTTCGAATTAACTAATTCGAACTAAGTTAGTTCGAATTAGCACTGTAGTGTAGACATACCCCAAGAGACATAGGGCCAGAGTTGCACCAGGAATTATTTTGACCCATTTGACACTCTGATGGATAACTGGACCTCAATCCTTTCTCCACTCTACTGCACAGACTTTCTTATCATCTCATGGGTGGGCTGACAGGCTAGATGTAAGACATCAACACCCTTCAGGCATGGTATGCATAGCAGCAGGGGCACTGCTTTCCCTGTGGAGGGAGATCACCGGACAAGTTTGTCACAGATGTAACAAACCCCGGGGAATGTGGGATTGCTTTCTAGCTTGAGACATTTTAAATTAGTCTGCAGAACCGACTGCAAGGAATAATCCTGCCCTGGCCACAATAGATATCTTACGTGTGACGTAGTAGCTCCTATCCATCTGATTTCTATCCACATGGGTGTGCGTATGGATGGAACGTATGGTTATTAAATGCCTCCCCTCTGTCTAAGGCCCTCCCCATAGTTCCTGGGAACTTTCTGTGGGGTAATAGTCTCTGAGCTGGTTTCACTGGGCTCTCTGCTTCGGTACTTAGTTCTGCTCTCCCCTGGGACCAGACTATCAAATATGGTGATGGGATGGGAAATCAAAAGGTCGCTAACAACACAGTTGGTAACTGGCTATAAACCAAGAGGATGTAAATGAGAGCTTAAAAAAGGGTGAGGGCGGGCTGGGACTACAGGATAAACTTCTCTGTGCAGAGAGAGATTAATGTGTCTTCTTCTCTGCCCCCGTAGTTAGGGAATCTGCACTTGGGAAGATCGCAGGATCTAATGCATCCCAGAATAATGTTTGTTTTTTACAAAAGTGTTACCTTACTGAGTCATACCTGGTTTGTGATCCACTATAATCCCCAGATACTTTTCTGTAGTGCTCCTTCCTAGGTAGTTATTTCCCATTTTGTATTTGTGTAGTTGATCATTTCTTCCTAAGCATAATACTTCTCATTTGTCTTTATTGAATTTCACCCCATTTATTTCAGCCTATTTCTCCAGTTTGTCGAAATAATTTTGAATTCAAGCTCTGTCCTCCAAAGTGCTTGCAATCCCTCCCAGCTTGGTTTTGTTCACAAACTTTGAAGTGTACATCCTCTGCCATTATCCCAATCATTTATGAAGATATTGAATAGATCCCAAGATAAATTGCTGCAGGACCGCACTTGATATATCCTTCCAGTTTGACAGTGAGCCATTGATAACTATGCAGAGTATCCGAGAGGTGGCCATGTTAGTCTTTGTATTTGAAAAAAAAATCCAAGAAGTCCCGTGGCACCTAAAAGACTAACGGAGGGTATGTCTATACTACAAAGTTAGTTCGAACTAACGGACGTTAGTTCGAACTAACTTTCATAGGCGCTACACTAGCGCTCCGTTAGTTTGAATTTAATTCGAACTAACGGAGCGCTTAGTTCGAACTAGGTAATCCTCATTCCATGAGGATTAAGCCTAGTTCGAACTAGCTAGTTCGAATTAAGGGGTGTGTAGCCTCTTAATTCGAACTAGTGGGAGGCTAGCCCTCCCCAGCTTTCCCTGGTGGCCACTCTGGCCACCACCAGGGAAACTCTACTGCCCCCCTCCCGGCCCCGGACCCCTTAAAGCAAAACGCTAATTCGAACTAGTTTTTAGTTCTAGATGCATTAGTTTGAATTAGCTTAGTTCGAATTAACTAATTCGAACTAAGTTAGTTCGAATTAACGTTGTAGTGTAGACGTACCCAGATTTAGTAGGGCATAAACTTTCATGGGTAAAAACCACTTCATCAGATGAACTAGAGTGGAAATTACAGAGGCAGGGATATATACATGTTACTTATCTAGTGTATCGCCAGTGTTAATGAGGCCAATTCAGTCAGGTGGATATGGTTCACTCACAGCAGCTGATAAGAAGTTGTGAATACCAAGAGAGGGGAAATTGCCTTTGTAGTGAGATAACCAATCTAAATCTTTATTCAGTCCTAACTGGATTGTATGGAATTTGCAAATCTAGCCCAGTATCCTGTCCTCTGACAGTGTCCAATGCCAAGTACCCCAGAGGGAATGAACAGACCAGGTAATCATCAAGTGATCCATCTCCTGTCGTCCATTCCCAGCTTCTGGCAAACAGAGGCTAGGGATGCCATCCTTGCCTATCCTGATTAATAGCCATTAATGGACCTACCCTCCATTAATTTATTAATTTATCTAGCTCTTTTTTTGAACCCTGTTATAGTCTTAGCCTTTACAACATACTCTAGCAGGGAGTTCCACAGGTTGACTGTGAGTTGTATTAAGAAATACTTCCTTTTTGTTTGTTTTAAACCTGCTACCTATTATTTTCATTTAGTGAACCTTAGTTCTTGTGTTCTTGGAAGGAGTAAATAACTTTTTTTTATTCACTTTCTCTACACTAGTTATGATTTTATAGCCCTGTATAATATCATCCCTTAGTCATCTATTTTCCAATCTGAAAAGTCCCAGTCTTATTAATCTCTTCTCATATGAACATAAGAAAGGACATACTGGGTCAGACCAAAGGTCCATATAGCCCAGTATCCTGTCTTCTGACAGTGGAAAATGCCCGATGCTCCAGAGGGAGTGAACAGAACAGGGAATCATCAAATGATCCCTCTTCTGTCATCTATTTCCAGACAAAGAGAGGTTAGGGACATCATTCCTACCCACCCTGGATAATAGCCAGTGATGGACCTACCCTCCATGAATTTATCTAGTTCTTTTTTGAACCCTATTCAAGTCCTGATCTTCACAACATCCTCTGGCAAGGAGTCCCACAGGTTGACGGTGCGCTGTGTGAAGAAAAACTTCCTTGTGTTTGTTTGCTACCTATTTATTTCATTTGGTGACCCCTATTTCTTGTGTTATGGCAGTTGTTCCATACCTCTGATAATTTTGTTGCCCTTTTCTGACTTTTTCCAATGCCAAGATATCTTTCTTGAGATGAGGCAACCACATCTGCAGACACAGTATACAAGATGTGGGCGTACCATGGATTTATATAGAGACAATTATTATTCTCTGTCCCTTTCGTAATGATTCAGAACATTCTGTTTGCTTTTTTTGACTGCGGCTGCACATTGAGTGGATGTTTTCAGAGAACTATCCACAATGACTCCAAGATCTCTCTCTCGAGTGGCAGCAGCTAATTTAGTTCCCATCATTTTATACATATAGTTGGGATTACGATCTTCAATTGTGAAGACCTTAGGAGACTGTCACAGCTAGCAAGTAGAGGAGAGTTCCTGTCTCCTGTGAGGATTATATACCTGCCCTGAGAGTCACCAGACCAGCTCCTGATTTGGGAGTGTCTGGAGCCTATGGGAATGACTCAGCACATGCAGCTTAATCAGGCTCTGGTTCAGGGATGACTCAGCCTCACATCAAGCTTACAGATGTATTGGTGCCACTCTGAAAGGGATTCAAAAGCCCTGCCATAGACATGCTAGTGGTGTCCATCAGGTGAGGCACTGTTGAGCCAGAGTGACATTGGGGTGGAGGGGGTTAGTATCAACCAGGGTTCACAGGCAGCTCAGGGAGGCCCTATAAGCTGGGAGCCATTCAGATGCAGCTGAGGCTGTTCAGTTGCATCACATATGGTATTTAAAAGGTTTGCTATTGATCAGAAGCCAGGAAAGGAAGCTTGGCAGAAGCAGAGGAGGACGTACCCTGCATGGTTTGTGGAATTCTGGAGTTTACCGCTTGTATGGCCACATGGAAGGGGTGCAGCTGGAGACTTTTCCTAGGTTTGTGTCCATCTGAGTTAAGCCAAAGCCCCCTCCCCAACAGGACCCCTTCTTGAGAGAGTGGTGTGTGTTCCCATCCAAGCCTTCGGTAGGTTCTGCCAAGTCCTGCCATGAGGAACATCCAGGAGGTTACTCACCTGATAAGCATCTGCTCTTTTCCATAATTACCTCACGTGGCTGGCTGTCATGAGCCGGTCCTGCTGGCTGCACTCCCTTCTGGTGACCTCAGTGTAGCCTGGCAGGCTCACCAGGTAGTGAACTTGAGTCAGCAGGGCTAGGAATAGCTGGGGGTAGAAGCCCCGCATTGCCCCAGTGCACATGTAGATAGTAAGCATCTCACACAGGGCTCTGGTTGCCTGAGGAAGATAGAGACAACTCTAACTCTAAAATCCTCTGCCTCCCCTCTTAGAATCATTGAAATTTTGGTCTGAAAGGCAAGCAGCTGAAGAGGCCCCCCCCTTGCCGAGGCAGAACCAAGTAAACATAACTCATCCTGAGAGGTGCTTGTCCTCAGAAGCTTGTGCCAGAGCTTAACTACCCTAAGGCCTCATCTTCACTCTATGAAAGATCGCCGCTGCCATGATCAATCTTCTGGAGTTCGATTTAGCGAGTCTAGTTAAGACTCACTAATTCAAACTCAAAGGATGCCCCTGCCGGCATCTGGTACTCCTGCTATTGCCAGGAGCAAGGGAAGCTGACGGGAGCGTTTGCTCCCATCAGCCTCCCACTATGGGAACTCTGCCAAGCTCTGCTTAAGGTAAGCCGAGTTGCGTACCTTAAGCCAAGCTGCTGGGTCTAGTGTAGACCTGGCCTTAGAGTTAGAAAGGATTTCCTAATAGCTCACTTTGCTGCAAAAATTAAGCCCATTACTTCTTGTCCTCCCTTCTGTGGACATGGAGAACAATTCATCCCCCCCTTTAGCATAGCCCTCAACACATTTTAAAATTATCAGGTCCCCTTTCAGTCTCCTTTTGCCAAGATGGAGCATGCCCATTTTTAAACTTCTCCTCAAAGGTTGGGTTTTCTACATTTGTTATTGTTCTTGCTGCAGTCCTGTGGATTTGATAGCAGCCTTCAACTTCCTGAAGGGAGGTTCCAAAGAGGATGGAGAGAGGCTGTTCTCAGTAGAGACAGATGACAGAACAAGGAGCAATGGTCTCAAGTTGTGGTGTGAGAGGTCCAGGTTGGATATTAGGAAAAACTATTTAACTAGGAGGGTAGTGAAGCATTGGAATGGGTTACCTAGGGGAGTAGTGGAGTCTCCATCCCTAGAGGTGTTTAAGTCTCGGCTTAACAAAGCCCTGGCCGGGTTGATTTAGATGGGATTGGTCCTGCCTAGAGCAGGGGGCTGGACTTGATGACCTTCTGAGATCTCTTCCAGTTCTATTATTCTATGATAAGGGGATGGGTTGATGAGATAATATGATCTTGGTAACTAATTGACCATTCATTATCAGTGGGAAATAGGTCAATGGAGGGATGATAGGAGTTACTATAGAGAATTTCTGGGTGTCTGGCTGGTGAGTCTTGCCCACATGCTCAGGGTTTAGCTGATCGCCATATTTGGGGTCGGGAAGGAATTTTCCTCCAGGGTAGATTGGCAGAGACCCTGGAGGTTTTTCGCCTTCCTCTGTAGCATGGGGCACAGATCACAGCTGGAGGATTCTCTGCATCTTGGGACCTTCAAAGTATTTGAAGGCTTCAATATTGGAGATATAGGTGAGAGGATTATTCTAAGAGGGGTGGGTGAGATTCTGTGGCCTGCACTGTGCAGGGGGTCAGACTAGATGATCATAATGGTCCCTTCTGACCTTAGTCTACGAGTCTGTGAGACTCTCTCCAGTTGTCCACATCTTTCCTAAAGTGTGGAGACCAGGACTCTAGCTGGGGTCACATGAGTGCCATGCACAGCAGGACAATTTCCACCTTTGTCTTATTTACAACACTTGATGATGTTCAGGATGCATCCCAGGGTATGTCTACACTGCAGAGTTCTTTTTGGGAAAACAGCCGTTTTTCAAAAAAAAAAAAAAAATCACTTACATCCACATTGCAATTAATTCTTTTGAAAAATAATCAAAAGAACTGTGTTTTTTTCCCGATATTGGTAATCTTCATTCTACAAAGAAGAAGCCTTTTTGCGAAAGAGCTCTTTCAGAAAAAGGCATGTATAGACAGGGAAGAGGGAGTTCTTTCGGAAGAAGAGGAAAGAGGAAAAAGCACAGGTGCCCTGGTGGCCACTCTGTCCATAGCAATCACAGCTGAAATGCAAGAGAGCATCCATTCAGTGTGGACGCTCCCTTTCAAAAAAGCAGATCACTTTTTCGATGTGCATTTGCAGTCTGGACGCTCTCTTTCGGAAGAAGTTTTTTCAGAAGATCTCTTCCGGAAAAACTTCTTCCAAAAGAAGCCTGCAATCTAGACAACAGCCCCAGAATGGTGAGGGGTTATGTCACCACTTGCCCTGCCCACATCTAGGTGCCCCACAATGCTTTGCTGCTAGAATGTTCACAACCAGACTATGAGCATGCAGGTAACCCCCTGAGGCTAAGTCTAGACTACAGGCTTCTTTCAGAAGAAGCTTTTTTCAGAAGAAATCTTCGAAAAAACTTCTTCTGAAAGAGCGCATCCACACTGCAAAAGTGCATCGAAAAAGTGATCTTCTTTTTCGAAAGGGAGTGTCCAGACTGAATGGATGCTCTCTTGCATGTAAGCTGTGATAGCTATGGATGGAGTGGCCACCAGGGCACCTGTGCTTTTTCTTCTTTCCTCTTCTTCCAAAAGAACTCCCTCTTCCCAATCCACATAGGCCTTTTTGTGAAAGAGCTCTTTCGCAAAAAGGCTTCTTCCTTGTAGAATGGGAATTACCGATGCCGCTAAACCCCTCTGTGCTTTCGATTTTCTTGTGGAAGTGCACAATTGAAGTGTGGACGTTCCTCAAGTTTGTTGGAAAAACAGCCATTTTTCCGACAAAACTCTATACTGTAGACATACCCTGAGTGTCCATGCATTAGTCAGCCCTTAGTCAGGTGACCCCAGCAGCCTGTGTACAACTCCACAGCCCCACTCTGGCTTCTACCAGCCTTGGCTACTACCTGCAGGGTAACCCCAACACACTCCCCATCCTGAGCCTTCTCAGAACCATGTGCTCTGCAAGGACCAACACTCTCCTGGACATTCCACACATGAAAAGGTTTGTTTGTTCTTCTAATGATAAAAGCTTGCCACAGCTTGTTAACTTAGCAAAGGTATATATATCCTCCTGAAAAGGATCTGAGGGGTGTACTGGATCACAAATTAACTGTGAGTCATCAATGTGATCCGGTTGGGAAACAGGTTAGTATCTTTCTGTGGTGTTATGACCAAAAGCAGGCCTGTATTCAGCCCCGGCGCACTATGGTAATAATCTTTGTACAAAAATTGCCTTGTGAGGTATCGTTTGAAAACTAGTGGGTCGCTGATCATTCATAGTCTTGTGTGATGTGTGTACATGGGGTATGTATCAAGAGTTATAGATGTATGCTGGACTTACTAGTAATGTTTGTTTAAACTAGGCAGGTCAGTAATGAAAATATTGACTAATACTGGACAAGTACCTGACCCCATGGGTTCCACTAGATCAGTGTTTCTTTAACTGTGTTCCATGGCACATCGGTGTCCCGCGAGGCAGTTGGAAGTGTGCCACAGAGAACCACAGAATTCAAAATGGCTGCCCTCAAAGGGGCAGGTGACCCTTTTTTTGGTTTTGGTTTTTTGCTCAACTTTCCCCCAACCCTTTTTTTTTTCCTCAATAATTTTCCCCTCGCCCTTCCACCACCCCAACATTTATTTTTTTGCTCAACCAAAAATTCTTGGTGTTTCTCATAAAAAAAATTATTGTTTGGTGTTCCTCAGTCTTAAAAAGTTTAAGAAACACTGCACTAGATACACCCTCCTAGTCTGACAACTGCTTTTTGGGTACCAGTTGTGCACCCATCTTATTTTCATTTAGACAGCATTTCCCATGTTACTTCATGATCTTGGCAAAGAAGAAGCTTTGTTGGTTGACTTGCAGTTACAATAAACAGGTAGGTTAAATTGTAAAGGCAAAATGGAATCATTGCAGCAGAGTTCTGCTGGTAGGAAGGATTAACATTAAGTCCACCTAGATGTGTTCAACCAGGAAATTTAGCTAACGATGGAAAGGGCTACGGAGGCAGGATGCTCCAACTTGGGAAACAGACGATGCTGCATGTTGCTCTGCCATTAAACCCTCTAGTAGGTTAAGAACTTGCTTTTCCACCAAAGGAGAAAAGCAGAAGAGGGTGGTCATGGTAAAAGTCTTGGTGGAAGGTAAAATGGAAAATACAGGAAGACGTTCTGAGCATCCTCTGGCAAATGTGGTACCCATACACACTCTTCCCCCAGATGACTCACCAGCCTCCTGCTTCAAGGCTCTGACATGCTGGTCAATACTGTAGAGAATACAGAGGTGCTAGCTTTCTCTGGAAGGGGAAGCCCTGTTGGTGTGATTACTCACAGCCAGAGGAGTGAGGAAGGCACTATCACCCGAGCTACTGCTGCTCTCCTGAAGTCGAGGTCTCTGTTTCAGTTCTCTGAGCAGCTGCCACATCACTCGGGCGTTGGTTTCTAGATTTCTGCACAGGCCTTTCCACAGCTCAGCAGCATTGCTGGAAATTCAGAAATGTTGGATTGCTGATCAGACTTTGTCCACTCTCCTCTAGTTAGGCTCTTATATAGCCGCCTTCAGCTTGGTATCTGGGCTCCATTGTGCTCACTCGCTGCCCTCTGCATGGAGAAGTTTTTCCTGAACTCTCTTAGGGCATGTCTACACCAGGAAATTATTTCAAAATAACTAAATTTGAAAGAATAACTCCTGAAATAACAACACTGAAATAGCGTTATACTCCTAGGAAAGCAGGAGTTCAGATTTCAAAATAACCAGCCTATTATTTCATAAAATCATAGAATCATAGGACTGGAAGGGACCTCAAGAGGTCATCGAGTCCAGCCCCCCGCCCTCAAGGCAGGACCAAGCTCCGTCTACACCATCCCTGACAGATGTCTATCTAACCTGTTCTTAAATATCTCCAGAGAGGGAGATTCCACCACCTCCCTTGGCAATTTATTCCAATATTTGACCACCCTGACAGTTAGGAATTTTTTCCTAATGTCCAATCTAAACCTCCCCTGCTGCACTTTAAGCCCATTACTCCTTGTCCTGTCCTCAGAAACCAAGAGGAACACATTTTCTCCTTCCTCCTTGTGACACCCTTTTAGATATTTGAAAACCGCTATCATGTCCCCCCTTAATCTTCTTTTTTCCAAACTAAACAAGCCCAGTTCATGAAGCCTGGCTTCATAGGTCATGTTCTCTAAACCTTTAATCATTCTTGTCGCTCTTCTCTGTACCCTTTCCAATTTCTCCACATCTTTCTTGAAATGTGGCGCCCAGAACTGGACACAGTACTCCAGCTGAGGCCTAACTAGTGCAGAGTAGAGCGGCAGAATGACTTCACGAGTTTTGCTTACAACACACCTGTTGATACAACCTAGAATCATATTTGCTTTTTTTGCAACAGCATCACACTGTTGACTCATATTCAACTTGTGGTCTACTATGACCCCTAGATCCCTTCCCGCCATGCTCCTTCCTAGACAGTCGCTTCCCATCTTGTATGTATGGAACTGATTGTTCCTTCCTAAGTGGAGCACTTTGCATTTCTCTTTATTAAACCTCATCCTGTTTACCTCTGACCATTTCTCTAACTTGCTAAGGTCATTTTGAATTATGTCCCTATCCTCCAAAGAAGTTGCAACCCCACCCAGTTTGGTATCATCTGCAAACTTAATAAGCATACTCTCTATCCCAATATCTACATCATTGATGAAGATATTGAACAGTACGGGTCCCAAAACAGACCCTTGAGGAAATCCACTTGTTATTTCGAAATAACAGGCTTGGCAGTGTGGATGCTCCGCTTATTATTTTGACATAAAGGGGGTTATTTTAAATTAACTCCTTCATGTAGACCAGGGCATAGTGTGCTCATTCCTCTCTGAGCTTCTGGAGTGTCTTTCCAGGGTCTGACTGTCTAGTGAGACCTAACATACAGCCAGGCCTAAGGATGTTAAGGACTAGTTGACTAGTCGATTTCCCCCCACCCACCCCTTACAGCCTCTATCAGATAGAGTCACCAAAAGTGGGCGGGAGAAGGGGTTCTTCAAAGTGGCAGCGTCTCACAGCTGAGCCAGGGATCAGCTGTGTGGCACTGCAGCTCTGAAACCCCAAGGCAGTGTTTCAAAGTGTTGAGAGTCTCTGGGTTAGGCTAAAAGGGATTAAAAACAAAGGTGATGTCATGCTAGGAGTCTATTACAGGCCACCTACGCAGGTGGTAGAAGTGGATGAGACTTTTTTTAAACAACTAATGAAATCATCCAAAGCCCAAGATTTGGTAGTGATGGGGGACTTCAACTATCCAGATATATGTTGGGAAAATAACACTGCAGGGCACAGACTATCCAATAAGTTCTTGGACTGCATTGGAGACAACATTTTATTTCAGAAGGTTGAAAAAGCTACCAGCAGGGACGCTGTTTTAGATTTGATCCTGACAAATAGGAAGGAACTGGTTGAGAATTTGAAAGTGGAAGGCAGCTTGGGTGAAAGTGATCATGAAATCATAGAGTTCACAATTCTAAGGAAGGGACAATAGAGACAATGGATTTCAGGAAGGCGGATTTTGGTAAGTTCAGAGAGCTGATAGGTAAGGTCCCATGGGAATCAAGACTGAGAGGAAAAACAACTGAGGAGAGTTGGCAGTTTTTCAAAGGGACATTGTTAAGGGCCCAAAAGCAAGCTATTCCGATGTGTCAGAAAGATAGAAAATACAGCAAAAGACTGCCTTGGCTTAACCACGAGATCTTGCATGATCTAAAAATAAAAAAGGAGTCATATAAAAATGGAAAGTAGGACAAATTACAAAGGATGAATATAGGAAAACAGCACAGGAATGCAGGGGCAAGATTAGAAAGGCAAAGGCACAGAATGAGCTCAAACTAGCTACCGGAATACAGGGAAACAAGAAGACTTTTTATAAGTACATTAGAAGCAAGAGGAAGACCAAGGACAGGGTAGGCCCACTGGTCAGTGAGGAGGGAGAAACAGTAACAGGAAACTTGGAAATGGCAGAGATGCTCAATGACTTCTTTGTTTCGGTCTT